GGAATTCCAGTTGGGAATTCTTGCTGGGAACTCCTCCCCGGGTGGAATTTGGGGTTCCTCAAGAGCTTGGGGTGCGTCAACCCCATAAAAAACGGCCGAAATTCCTGATTTTAGGATCAACCATTGGACTCCACAACCTCACCCGATCCATTTGGGAATTCCATGGGAATTCCAGCTGGGAATTCCTCACTGGGTGGAATTTGGAGCTTCAAATTCCTCCACCTGGGGCGGCCTGTGGTGCCTCAACCCCATAAAAAACAGCCGAAATTCGCAATTTTGGGATCATCCATTGGACCCAACCACCTTATAATGACTTCTACTGATCCATTTGGGAATTCCACAGGAATTTTGGGTGGGAATTGCTCACCTGGTGGAACCTGGGGTGCCTCAACCCCATAAAAAACGGCCAAAATTCGCAATTTTAGGATCAACCATTGGACTCCACAACCTCCCAATGATGCATATGGGGAATTCCATGAGAATTCTGGGTGGGAATTTTGCACCTGAGGGAGCACCTGGGGTGCCTCAACCCCATAAAAAATGGGCGAAATTCCCCATTTTAGGATCAACCATGGGACCCCACAACTTCCCAACGACCTCCCCAATCCATTTGGGAATTCCATGGGAATTCCAGTTGGGAATTCTTGCTGGGAATGCCTCACCTGGGGGGGCCTGGGGTGCCTCAACCCCATAAAAAACAGGTGAAATTCCCAATTTTAGGATCAACTGTTGGAACCCACCACCTTACAATGACTTTTCCCAATCCATAGGGGAATTCCACAGAAATTTTGGGTGGGAATTTTGCACCTGGGGGAGCCTGGGGTGCCACAACCCCACAAAAAATGAGTGAAATTCCCAATTTTGGGATCAACCATTGGACCCCACAACCTCACCCGATCCATTTGGGAATTCCATGGGAATTCCAGCTGGGAATTGCTCACCTGGTGGAAGAAGTAGGCCACGGCCAGGTCGTTGTCGTTGAGCAGCGCCTCCTCCTCGGTGGTGAAGAGCCACTTGCGTAGGGTCAGGCAGGTCCCCGGCACGGCCGAGGTGTAGTTCTGAACGTAGAGCTTGTGGGGGAACTCGTTGGGAGCCAGCTTCCGCACTGGGAATGAGGGAAAATCGGGCGATTAGGGGGGGAATTGTGGGGGATTAGTGGGAGATTAGTGGGGAATTGTGGGGGAAATTGTGGGGGAAATTGTGGGGGATTCATGGGGAAATTGTAGGAAAATTGTGTGGAAATCATGGGGAAATTGTGAGGAATTCATGGGAAAATTGTGGGGAATT